AAATTCAAAATCTCGCTATTCATGACAAGAAGTTTATAATCTAAATAGAAGACAAGACTGCAAAGAAAATCCAAGGTTAATAAGCGCATTGTAATGTTGTGCACCGGCAATCATGAGCTATGCATGCGGAGAAGAAATCTGGCTCTATTGAAGTGCAATAGATGAAGGTACAGGCGAAAAGGCGATGTAAATTGAAGGAGGCACATTTACCTTGGTGGCAAAGATTCCCTTAATCCTTCACAACGAAAGGATTTAGGCGGACGTCTACATTTGTTTTCACCTTATTCCCGCCGTAAACTACCTGAAAAATTTTCGTTTTTGAATAATCTGCACAAAAGTTGACAACTAAACACTAATTAAAATATTCTCCCTTAGATCCAACATAGTCTACTGTTCTAACATGTAAAAGCAATCAACATTGGCAAATCAAACCATTTAAAAATGCAAAGTTCCAAAGACACTGGTTTAAAAGAACTTGAACATAAAAACAAAGTATAACTCAAATAAGTCAATTTTGTTATAGTTCTTCGGATTTACTATCTTTAAGGCTATCGTTGGACGGCTGTCAGATGGCGGCGTTTGGAAAGTTTATCGGTGCCGCTAGCACTGCGTTTAATCGTGCCAGCCAAGTGAGTTAGTAGAAAAAATATATCATTTGTAGTATACGAGCGAGATTCGTGGTGCAGCATTAAAATCCAGCTATCCCGATGATATAGTTGCAGACTTTGAAATTGCTGATAAGCTGAAGAAAGTGTGCGATAAGTTGCAGTCAGGCATTACTGCCTGGCTTAATCCGAATCCAGGTATGTTGCATTCACCAAAAGCTTTGCTTTGCACAATCTCTTAATAAGCACTTCAATAAATCATGCGCTTGTTCTACACTATTCTTCAAGTTGGACGTTATTTTGAACTTCTGCTGCATTTTTTAGCTGATCGAATGCAAGAAATGGTGTTAGATAAGTTTGATGCCAAAAAGCAACCAAAACTTACATCTGCTGAACTGCTGGGGAAGTTGGAACAGGATTTGGCTACTGAAATATCCCAAACTTCCGCTGGTAAATCTTAGTATTGCAAATTTGGCTCCATTTTTTGCGATTTTATCTCTTTTATCCATTTGTAGATGCGTCTTTAAAGGTCATGCTTTCTCAGTATGGCCAAGTTCAAATGGACATTGGAAGCGCCGAGCGATTTCTTATCAGTGAAATTCAAAAAAGCATTTTGGTGACGACTAAGTACTACCTTGATACTGTCTGGCCGAGTATTAATGTGCGTTACCTAAGTTGCTAAGAGCAGCATTTATATGTTTCAACATTTATGTTTTTGGTTTTGTTAAATTAACACTCCACATGCACGTCCGTGCCTTCAGGTGTTTCCTAGAAACTCCCTGATATTTAAGCATCCAAATGCATTAAAAACCTCAATCTCGCACTATGATTTTTCATCTGTCGGAGGTTTTGCTATCTCAGATAACACCATAAATATTCCACCCTTTTATTTTTGTATTCATGAAATTACTCTATGGCACGTGTTGTGGTGAATTTGTCTCAATCTTTTCCGTTTTTGCTGCGCTTGTAAAGTGTGCTTTTTATTTATGGCTGCTTACTTGAAATGCTTAGGCTGTTGACTTGTTTAGACTCAGCGGCGTTCGCTGGAGCTTGCACGCTTGGATTTTGACTCAGCAAGGAAGAAGAAAGAGGCCTGCACATCTGACGAAAAACTTCGGCCTGTAATTTCTAAGCTCTTCATCTTATTTTTTTATTGCTTCTTAAATCTCGTTGTGTATTAATACTTTTATACTTTATTTTTAGTCACTGGCTGCACTGGAAGTGGCTCAAGCTAAATACAACGAGCAAATTGCAGCCACTCGACAAGTAACTTCTCAGCTCAAATCAGTCCAGGTTGGCTTATTACCCTCCACGTTGCCTATCCTATCGTCTTAACTACATCCTATGATATGCTTAACACTCGAAAAGAGTTTAATTTCACAATTGTAGCCAAAGGCAAATGCATTACTGTCTTATTAGCAAACCTAATACCTTAAAAACTGCCTTTTAAATAGCATTGCAGTAGAGTTAGAGTACTCGCCTCAAGTGCATTAGTATGTAGAAAGGAGCACTTGTGCAAATGAAGTCAACAAACCCACAAAACTGCATATGCGCCTGCAAAGAGGTTGCTTGTAGGTGACGTATGGCACAGAGCCATCGATCGGTGTGACCCTCTCATATGCGCCTTTGCGTGGCAGAGGCGAGAGGTGGTCTAGCACAAAACAAGAGCACTCTCTTTTCCTCCTTCATTCCTTCCTTATGGACGATTATGACAGCCAAATTGATTGTTTTCCGAGTTCTGGTCAGGTGATTGTTTGTTGTGCGTTCCAGTGACATCTTGAATTCACTTGAACTGAGAATCACGTTGACGGGACCTCTCAACCCCCCATTCCACCTTACTCATTAATGATAGAAGTGAATGCCAATGATTTGACATTTTGTGAAGTCAATTTCAAATCTCCGTTCGTAAACAAATGTCCACAGTTGTGTATTAGACACAATCGTCATGCACACCTCTTAAAGGCAGGAACTTATTTACATGAGTGGAGTACGTGGGTGGAATAAATGTAATCCTGTAGGAGGGCCTTCGAGATGGCTTGAAGATGATGGCAGCTGCTCAAGCTCGCTACTACAATACATGCCAAGAACAGTTGCGTCAATTGACCAAAAAATTTGACCTTTCTGATCACCATTCGTGAATCGGTATGTTAGTGTGAACATTTTTTTTTTAATAGTTAGTTGAATGTTATGTGGTGCACACTTTGGAGTTTTCATCTTCTTTTGTAGATCGACGTCAAGACGCCGTGCATTGGCATTATGCACTGACTGAAAAAGTTGTCAAAATAATAACTCAGTGCCTTATTATAACACTGATTCCTACAGCCAGATGAGTTGGTAAATTCCTCTTTCAGGGCGTTGTGGTAGCCTCAAATCACTTTAAAAAGTAACACAATTATTATGAAGTGACCTCTCACCATAACTCGACCTCCAAATTTTAACTAGGTTATTCATAATGTAATCAAATGTGAATTGGTCAACAGTGCACTCTGTGACTGCTTGTCAACGCAACGCCAAGGTAAAATGGGCTCTGGGTGGGACATTTTCTCCTAAACGTCGAGAAGGAACCGAACTCACGCAATAGTCATATGCTTGACTAATGCCAGGCAACAGAGGAGAATTGGTTGCTCACAATTACGTCGTTCTGAGTGGGTGCCAGAATAAAACCATTGTTTGATCGTTGACAAAACAGCAGGTGCACGCATGGGAGAGCAGGGCGTGGCTTAAATGGACTTGGGGAACAAACAAAAAAAAACTACGAAGGTCATTTCGCATTGCAAGTTTGGTGGCCACACAACAGCCTAAAATACATGGGTAAAGAAATAAAAAATGTATATTTAATGCAGGAGGCACAAATTCACTGAAGTGGACGCTTACTGATGCCGCACTTGCTCGTATTAAGCTTTGTGTTTAACTGAAAAAAAAAATTGTGCATCCCATCATTCAAATTAACCATTGTAAGACGTCAAATTCTACTATCCCATCAGACTGTAGTGTTTTAATGCGTACAACTTCTACAGAGACGTAAAATGTCACAGAAAGTTGTGAAGTTCGTGGATGGCCAAATGGGTGCACTTTAATTGAGGTGACTTGACACAAGCACTGATTTCCAAAAGGCCATTTGATGCAGTATTACAAAGTCAATTGATCAATTATGTTGCGCATCTCCAACACAAGGTGAAGTGCATTTGAAAAAAAGATGGCTTTGAAAGTGAGATAGGTCGTGGAAGGACCACATAAATTGCTTAAAGACCGTCCAGTGGGCGACGGTAATGCCAACTTAGGTCGAAGTAATTGGATGCACCAGTCAACTTTCATCCCTACAAGCTAACACAAGTCACCAAATCAGACCTCAGAATCTGAAATTCGTGAAAGGGAAACGCTAACTACCACTCCAAAAAGGTGTTGTGTGTAAGGTGAGGCCATCGTACACTCCCTGCGCTATCAATTTTGCATGAAAAAGTGGTGCTGTAACAAAGAAAATTGAAGCGTAAAGACAATCGATCAAAATGGTAATGCATAAGTCGACCGTACTAAGAAGATCCGTCACGTTGGCACGCTGAACACGTCGCCACTCACCAAGCTGAGCAATCCCGCCCAATGTTGCATTTCAGCGGCGAACGTCAGCAAAGGCCACCCGACAATGATAAATACCTTGAGAGAGCAGCATCACGCCCAAGTCGAAAGTTATCGAAAAGGACACGGTGGACTCGCGCCGATTGCCCACGTGTAGCGCAACTGCCACAGCAGTCAAACTAAGGTCGAGTCACTTTAACAAGCAGATCAAGACGATCACATAACCACACTTCGAACAGAATCACCCCTTTTTACGACCCACTTTGGCACCTCTTAACGACAGTTTTGGAATCGAACCAAAAAACACAGAATGTGCAATTACTAACCCACGTTTACGTTCTCAATATCAATCCTCGTAAAAAGCAAAGCTAAACAATCTACTTTCAAATGAAGCCAATGAACCGGCCTCAGTGTCATTCAATATATTTTATGAGTAGAAGAATTTATAGAAGCAAAAAAGCAGTATTCGCGATCAGGGAAATTTTAGAGGTGAAGAGACAGTAATAATATCACGTTGAAGAGTACTGACCTCCGCGTAGAGATGGTGCATTCTCAGGCCACACTCCCTAGTCATTGTGATTTTATTGTACAGTGTCTACAGGGAAACGCACATACAAACAGTTGCCCACAAGCAATACTAGCAGTGGAGGTGGTGACAGCAGACTTTACAGGGGACAGGAAGGAAAATCAATAATTTGCACGATAGCATTTTGTCGGAAGGAGGGGAGGGGAGGGAGAGGGGGGGAAACAAAGGCGAATTGTACAGCAAAATACACAGCTGCTCCAGTCGACTACTAGATGGGGTGTATGTACACAAAACAGCCTACAAGGAGCGATATATATGGAGAATCCACGTGGCCCCACCATCTAATCCTACAGTGAGGGTTCTCAGGAAAGCGCTGCCAATGAAGGATTGTTCTGAAGGATCGTTTACTAACCCGATTCCTCCTCTGAAGACAGCGTCTCAGCCTCGGATTCCGATTCACTGCTCGAGATGTAGGCAGACTACATAGAACGAGTGTGAGGTCATACCCAAAAGGACGACGAAAGCAAAAAATAATCCACGGAGACTAACCCGAACTCGAGGCTGTCTAACACCTTTCCGCTTCGATGTGGATGTTGACATAGTACCACCGCCACCACCACCTCCAGAGGTACGAGAGGCTCGGGAATTTCGACCAAGATTACTGCCAACTCCACCACTGCCTCCTCCAACGCCCCCACGCCGCCTTTGTGGTGCTGATTGAGCCAAAAGTAGACGGGATGCACCACCAACCTAAAGAACAGTATGAGCGCGGTGAGCTTGACAAAGACGAAATGCAATGTGAGCAATGGAAAAAAGAGTTAAATCAATCCTCATCAGGAAAATTACATCCACGAGTCGCTTAACATGAACATAAACTCAAAATGACCTTTAAGGCAATAATGATTTTGTTGCAACAACTATCTAGGCATAGCGAAAAATTGCAATGCATATAGCAAAGCATATTTCCATGCTTTTGCACTTGCATCAGTGACCAATCATATGCAACGTACATCAGAATCTGCTGAATCGTCTTCTTCATCGGACGACCGATTGTGCGACTGCGGAACCAGAGATCGATCGGGCCCCAACCGAAGTGGGATATCTGGAAAGTAGTGATGTTTGTTGAAGATGAAAATGAATGTGATTAAAAGAGTCGTAATCATTGTAGCCCAAACTCTCACCATCAATGGGCAGACCAGGTTGCTTATCATCGCCCCCAAGACCATCAACGTTTGCCGCGGGATTTGTAGCAGCATCAAAACCGTCTTCATCAGGTGGATCGATGGAAAGAATAAGTTTGCGGAACTCAAAATACTCCAAAGCCAAATCTCGTGCGGCATGATGTGTGATGATTGGATGCATAGCTATGATTTAGAGATGAAAAAGAAAACATAAGCAACCAAGCAGATGATTCGACTGGGTAGTCTTTGGGGTAGACTTACTCGATACGTCAGAGGGATAAGTGGTGTCGCATGCATCTGTTCTTAATTCTTCAACAGCCGACCGCAGACAAAGCGCAGGAAAGAAACGAACACCACTTTTGCGTGTCAACTGCTTTTCCCAGAGCTTACCCGAATCAGAAGGTGAAAACTTTTGGATTTTGCTACAAAGGAGTTAAGAGCTGAAACCAAAACTATACCTGTCAGTTATTCCATAGACTTCCTTAAGGTACTGTTTCAGATTAAGGAGTAAAAGGCAAACGCGACTGGCCTTTACGGAATCACGAATCAAGGCCAGCCTAGTGGAATCTGCCGAAAGGATTCGAGACACCAAAGCATCCTCATTCTCCTCTTCGGTCTCCACCCTCATCAACGCTGCAGTTACACCATTCCCTTGATCTGTCACAAATTGTTAAACAAAACAAAGTCAATGACATGAAAACACCAGTCAAGGACAAAGAAATTGCACTACTCACCAGTATGTGAGTCTGGCACTTCATTAGGACCAAAAACTACACAATCTTTGGGAAAGGGTAATCGGCTACTCTCTGAACCTGGAACAATCCAGGAATTAGCGTTATTTGAGCCGTTATTAACGGATGCCTGAGAAACAAGGAGCCCCTTCAGCTCTGGAAAGAGAGCATCACGAACGGCCTGAAGTCTTGTGGAGCCGTTTACACTGATAAGAAGATCGATATGATGAATAACAAAGAGAGGTTCAGCCTGGCATTGATAGGGGAAGAAGGCCAGATTATCAGCCACATAAAGCAGCCTTCCTAGGGAGATGTTCTGCAACATAGACAACGAAACTGATTTTAGTCGATGAAAATTCAAAGAGGAGCCAGTAATCGTTATTTTAAGTCTGAGTTATGTAGAATTTGAGAGGAACACGCACATTCCAAAACGACTACTGAATTTCACAGTTTGAGTTTTGGTAACTACTGTAAGGCATTCGTGAAATCGCAACTCCAAAGCATCTAAGCGTTCGTGGTTTAAATTTTTATGGCAGAAAAGCATTCCTATGGAAACGAATTTCACAATAAAATCAAATCATTTAGAAGAAGTGAGGCTACAACAAAGACGTCCCCGTACGCTACATAGACGCAGTACAGGATCTAACCCTTTCTGACTAAGAAAATCACCTTTTACGAAAGCCAATCTAACCAACTTCGGTAACACAAGAAAGTGAAACAAATTTACAGATTTCTTGACGCCGAAGATTTTAGGCAACCTTTATGTAAAAGACGTCTCGAAGCATGGCCCAGACATTAAATCATCAGGAAACAGAGGTAACAAAGCACTTTAAAACAATCAGAACAATTTAAAATGGTCACGAAAAATAGGAATTAAAATTAAACACAGAAATCGAACCTTTTTGGACCGACCTCATATCTCACCTGCATCTCATCGAAGAGATTAACCAGACCACTGAGAAACGCTCGCCTGGAGGTCCGATTAACCCGCAACATTGAATAAAGCTGTGAGTTGAGGGCATTGGGAACATCTGAATCCACGTCCCTGGCACCACGGATGGGATTCGCAAAGGGATCCGCTGAGGCCGATGCAGTGCTGGCGTCACCCTCATTGGTAGCTACGCCGTTGTCAGTAGTATTGCAGCCACTGCTTCGACGTGACGACTTGACTGCTCCCGACTGTGATGTCGAAGATGTCGTGCTCTCGGAAGTGTTATGAACACCAGAGCCCTTGCGCTCTGTGTGCGGAACCTTCGAGTTCGAATGTAATACCCGTTGGAGGCGGTATGAAAAACAAACACCCTCAATCGCGCGCATCTAAAGTGGGAAATTCAATCAGATGACACGCTCTCCTCATTAATGAGCTGCCTATTTAAATAAAGAATCCCTCAAATAAAATGTTTGCATGAGATGTGTCATGACTATACTCTGCGAACAAATATTTAGTAGAAATCAACAAATCCAAGCCAAGCCTGATTACTGGATTAAATTTAGATGCACAATCCTGTAATTATAAAAATTGCTAAATTCAGGCAGTAACAACACTAAATCGATTTACAATCCAGAGATTTAAAGATAGCACCTAAGGATAAAAGTGAAAGCACCATAGCATTTTCAAGGAAATGTAAAAACTACATTGAAGCATGCTTGAACCCAGAGGAATTCCTAGAAGTTCGTTAGCCACACTGACAGAAATGACTCCGTACATATATGAATCCAGGAAATTTGTTCTCAATCTCCTGTAACTGAGCTTCTGCTTTGACACGCGTTGAGGCGTCGGAATCTGTCTGCATAGCGATCAGATAAGATACCGTTTGGACAGGATGAATAAGACCCTGTCGAAGGATTGTCGTCACAACTGAGAGAGCTGTCAAACGGACAGAGGCGGAGGGTGAGAAGAAGGTCTCCATAATTTCCTTCAAGTACGACTGCGCCACGTAGCTGCCTGTGCCTGAGGCGACATCGCCCATTACCTTTAAAGACTCCTCTTTATGCGTAGCCTTCCCTTTGGAGAGAAAGGATTAAAGAAACTGTTAGAATGTTGCATTGACTGCGAAAGCTTGTTTTGAATTCATGAGCTCACATTTAGCATCCTGTTCTAACATTCGCCTTTCCTCCTCCATGAAAAAGCTGAGAAGGTTTTCAAGAACAAGACTCTTTAGTTCTAAATCAGCCGACTTATCAAGGTCGTGGTCAGCCGGAGCTTGGAGGAGCTCGTGGTAGAACTTGCAGAGAGGTGTTCCGCAAAGCAGTTCCTTGTGTCGAGTACAAAGAAAGCCCAAGCCAGAGAGAGCATTCTTCCGCACTTCCAGATCGGACACCATGCGCTCCGAGAAAAACATGAGAATTTCAAAAACTTGATTAAGCGTTTTCGGCTCCGCGTCCGTGGAGAAGACATTAATGTCGAAGTGCTTGCACAGCAACCCCACAGTAAATAGGGAGCGTAAAATAGAGGGCCTTAGTTCCCGTGGCAGTGTCGGCATGGATCCCTTGTCCGAAGAGCTAAGACATTCTCTTCGAATCTTTACTAAGGCATTGAAGAAGCCCCGGAAGCATTCCATTGCCAAAGAATAATTTTTTGACACCCGATTAACTACAGCACCGAGACAAGCAACGCAGGATTCGAGGACCATCTTGCCCTGTCGGAGGGTAAGTCGAACGAGATCTTCCTCCAGTTGTGCCAAAAACGTTTCCGACGGATGTTCAATTAGAGGAATGGTAACTTCAAGGATCCTAGCCACATAGTGAAGAATCAGGGAATCCAGATGCGAGGATGGTTGAGCAGGTGCCCCAGTGGTCGGAACGCGAGCCGAAAGGTAGGGCTGTAGCAACATCGCGTGTTTAACAGTGAGATAGGGTCTAATTTTCGTGAAGAGGTGTAAAGTGGCGAGACAAGCTACAAGACGCTTAGTTTGACCAGGAATCTCATCTAACCGCATGATGTTCTGGACAAGACACTCCACAATTTGAACACAGGCTTTCTCTGCCGGACGAACCTTCTCTCCTTCTTCTTTGGTCAGAAGCTAAAAGATAGGTAACAAACAATACATACATCGAATAGAATGATGCACAAGAATAACTAGAGAAACTTACACCCTCCAGAAACTGTTCTAACCATTCAATCCCAGTATCCTTAGAAGCGGAGACAACCACATCTGTGATATTCATAACTTTGTGCAGCAATTTGACGGACTCTTTTTCCCGAACCGGAGTGAACCACAGAGCCTGGAAGACTTCGCTAACCAGTTTCTACAGTAACAGACAACAGTTAAATTGCGAGCCAGTAAACTGTACTGAAGAGTTATAAGTACAATACCTTCACACTCTCTTCGTCATTAACTCGGCGAATAATCTTGACACAAATCTCGGCGATACGCGGAAAATCGGGCTGTTCAACGCAGATATCGCGGAGGATGCGAATGACCCGTTTTCGTACAGATACACCCTTGTCACGGATCCTTTCAGATAGCATAGGATAGTACTGAGCTGTGAGTTCCGGACGACAAATAAGAAAACGTCCGAGAAGATCGACAGCGGCTTCCCGAACCGATGTGGAAATGTCCATAAGACGAGAGCGTACAGCCATCTCAATATCCGAACGTGCCAACACGCCAGGATCCGCTTCCACAACAGCCGAAAGACATCGCAATGCTTTTGTTCGTACGGGTACCGATGATTCGCTTAGGAGCTAAACACATTTTTCATGCAAATTATCCCATGAACTAGTTGCCTCAAAATAAGACCATCTTAAGTTTCATCTTACCTTGCAAATCTGTGAAAGATAAACATCGAAGCTTTGAGAGAATGGCCGAAGACTGGCAAGGTATCGACAGATAAGATAGGCATCCTCATAATCAATGGAGCCCTTGAACATAACACGCAGGGCTTGTGACTGTTTGGACACAACGGAAGCAGAGGTTGACGTCAAAGGCATCATTCCAGCCACCTTGGGTCTACAACGGGCTCGCCAAACTGAGGGCGGATCTCGTAAACGATCCATCAAGTAGGCGCGACGCGATTCTGCTAACTCAACATCAGAGATTGGGGAACCGTCCTTCTCACACTCGGTGTCTTCAATTTTACTCCGCTTCCCGCGACGAACTCCTCCCAGCTTCTGATGTGTTGACTCTTGTGAGGGATTCTCCATGACCGCCTTATGTGCACGTTCAACCTCCGTAGTGCAGTCTTCAAGCCATTGACCCATGTAAAACTTACAGGCATACTAAGAAAAAACGAAGTCACATACAGTGCTAACAGATGCGCTAAACCTCCCGCGGACAAAAACTTACGAGAACAACAGGATCGGATTCGTCTTCCAGAAGGTAGTCCAGAACAGCATCTCGAAGGACGAGTATTTTATCCATCTTAGACAAATTCACTCCCGAGCGTTTCTTATTTTTTGGCTTTTTCTCTTCTGCTCGCACAATCTTTACATCTTCTGATTCCTCCTTCGTTTTAAGAGTATCAGTAATCAAAAACAGATTTGCTGTGGAGGAAACATCCTCACCACCCTTTTTACCGGCATTACCCCCATCTTTCTCTTCTTCATCCTCTTCACTTTCCGACTGACTACCTTCGGTTAGTTCGCGCAAAATAACGTTTATATCGTGTTCTTTCAGCTGACTTGTCACTGCATCCCGACGCAGAGTCGAAGCCACTGTGCCAAGATAGTCAACACTGGTCACTCGAATTGACTGATCAAGCGATTTATTGTTGAATTGTTGAACCAGCAAACTCCCAAGGAGGCTCAACATGACCTCTGCCGCCGGCCACTCTGGCTTGTTCACGGTGAGAAGGAGATCATTGACAAAATTCTCAAAAATAATCCGATAATCATCTTCGCCTTTAGTAGTTGATCTATTTTTCAAAAAAATAAATTCGAAAAGGATTGCTGTAATTATTAACGAGCGCCCCAAAGGCAATCCAGAAACCAACCCTTCCAATCACTAGAATATTGGCAAAACAAGAAAACGATCAGATTCTACTTCGCTACACATTAATATGAAAATTGCATTAATCCTTCAAATCGGACAGTTAGAAGATGAGATTGACAGGGTAGTAAACTATCTATGGGAAAATACATACACATAAATGATTGAATCCTTCATCGAAACACTCATTCGAAAAGTAAGATGCTCTATTCACATTCCAGTTGTCAACCACACGTGGTAATAAAGCCTTGAACAGAGTCCTGTGTAAAATGCAGTACCGAAGGCTTCAAACTCAAGGTTTATGCATAACTATAGGGTACGAAAGCCAGAAGAATAGGGAAATGACTTTGAGACTTACTTTCTGAGGAATGCGGAAAGGAAATTGTGCGCCGTGATAATAGCTTTTTTGTAGGAACTGGTGACCAGTACCTCATCATCAGGTCTGTAGGCAGCAGAAGCACCCTGTCCAATTGTAGTTTCACCGTTATCCGTCTTAATATCAGCGCTCGTACCGTCCAACACTCGCTGCTGGCTAGAAACATTTGGGACAGGCAGTTCAATTACTGACTGAACCAAAAGAAGTGCCAGAGCCGTAAACATCTGAATACTCTCTTCGGAATTCAGCCTAAAATAATTAATAAACGATTCCCATCAATAATACATAGCGACTTTCAAACCTCACAACTGACAAGTGCATACCTATAAGTTCGGAGGTTGCGTTTACTCGAGGGAAGACGCGCGATACCGGTGATGATCTCCTCGATAATTAGTTTGCGACAAAGCGGATACTGAGCGAACACCCCAGTAACTAATTTGAGGCCCGCCAGTTGCAACTCGCTAACGTTCTCCACAAAGAAAATGGATACACCGACAGAATAAAGTGTGAGCACAAGACTATCAGTGAGGCGTTGGATGTTAACCAATTCAGCCAATCCTGAGACGATCTCCAAAAGGCGGTAGTAAAGATGGACAACTGCAGGTGATTTATGCGTATCACGCTCACGAGCACGCCGTGATTTGATACTACTCTGATTGTCCTTCGCCGAGTTTTCGATTCTGTAAGCCGGGTCATACTCAGGGTAGATACAATTCGAAAGCTGGAAACGGGTTACTTGAACTGCCTGTTCAATCACATCTTCCAAGTAGATTTCGCGGGGCATGTCTTTAGAAGTCATCAAATTCAAAGCAATTAGACTAGCCCCGACAGCACGGGATATTTTTTCCATACCCTCCTGATCTCCAACGACGCGGACGACGCTAGCTCCGTCACGAATGTTAAGCAAAAGAAGAGTAAGCAGCTTGAGAAGACGATCAGTGGGAACTTGATTGGCTGCATGCGTGCTCTTCAGTTTCGCAGCATCACGACACAATTCCGCAATATCAGAAGGGGAAATTATAGCTTCCGCTGGTACGCCATCATCACCACCACTGTCACCGCCAGCTAGAAGATCCACCTCCTCCACAGCCTCGAGCACTCGGTCGATATGAGAGAGGAATTTTTTTAGACTACTTGCTAGCGCAGCATCAGACGAGCCTGCGACTTCAGAATAAGAGTTCAGAAGCTTGTGATGGACGCGCTCTCGAACTGGCCGAGAATGTTCCGCAGCAGCCTTCTGCAAGTGTGGAAACCTCTGTTCAGCCGGTTCTTTGATGCGAACTAAATGATAAATGCGGAGCGAATATCAAATATGAGGAAATCAGATGGAAAACAAATTAAAAAGTACATAAATACTAACCCTCAAATGGTGCATCGTCGTCGTCGGGTTTTCGGCGCCTTCGAACACTACTCCCATCCTTATAACATTCGTCGTCAAGTACATCCTCAGTGTCGTCATCCATCCCAACGTAAGAACAACGGCCAGCACTTGCAGTGCTGACACCAAGACCCGTTCGAGACGACGAACGCAACGATGTCGCAACAGCAACCTCGGAATCCAATGTAGGATCCTCAGTAGCACCCGCCTCTACAGTTGCCACCATATTTTCCTCACTACTTCGGCGGGGGAGAGGTCTACCAAGGCAAAGTAGTGAGTTGCTTCGCAGCGAAAGGCGAAACGCAATAAAGTATGGTCTTACTTAGGGTAATCTTTATCATTTTCCAAAACATAATCAGCCGCAAGAGCCGTAGGCTGCCTAGTCATTCGTCGGCGTTTGTTGCGCAAGTAATTAGCCTGGCGATCAACTGCGGCATCCCATGCCGAAGACTCATCCGAATTCCTATCGGAATTTCTTTGGCCTGGGTATTTAACAGTCCACGTGCGCAAACCCTCCACCTCATTACACCTTCGTCCTGATTAAATCGAAGTTACAGAGAGGTTACAACATAGTGAGAAAAACTTCTCAAAAAGGCCTACTTTTAGACACAGGAGCTCTTCGTCGGGCTGCGGGTTTGGCTGGAGTGACTTTGGCAACTGGTGCAGGCTTGGAAGTCGATGATTGCGGCTTACTGGAATTGAGGTAGCTCGCTAAACCTAGAGGAGTAGTTTGGGGAAATCCAGGTTCAGGAGGCTTAGTATGCGTTGAAATGTCCAAAGAGGTATTTTGGAGATCGGATATATGCTCCAGGAAATTCCCAGAGGGCTTCGTATCGTACTCGAGGTGCGAAGCAATCATGAAGGAACCGCGGTAGACACTACTATCACTGGTACCTTGCGTAGGAGGATGGTGGGCAACAGGGGGAGAAAGATTCGTTACGGAAAGCAAATCAGCTGCTAGGAAGTCAGTGTAATTCAGTGCGGAGGGATTAGAAGGGTGATTCGGGGAATTTGAATGAGCCATTACGGACGGAGGCAGATCCTTCAGGAAGTTTTCCTGAAACACGACGAAATCGGGTTTCACTTGGTCTAGGACACCTTGCAAATCAAACGCCGGATTAGCGTCCAGACTGCCAACCCGGTCAATCCCAGGACGAGGGGAATGCGAGGCTGGCGCAGGGATCTTGCGACCAAATGACTCCTTGGTAGCATTTGGAGAGGAGACAAGGACCGGCTTAGCAGTCATAGGAACTCCATTGGCAGGTGGAAGAAGTGGTTCTACGCGATTTATGCTTTCCACTAGGGGAAATCCTTTTTCATGGCTATGATGCCGCTTCTTTCCACGGTCCTTAGATTTCTTGTGTTTCTTCTCCTTCCGTTCTCGAGACATGGAATCCAAGGAAGCATTAGCATCGCTAGTTGTGGGACGTTTAAGTGAGAACTTAAGCAGGATCTTTTTCTCATCCGGTTTGACATTAACGCTGACACCATAGGGAGTTGGCGTGTTGGAATCATCCGCATCGTTAGAATGATCATCGCTTGCAGAACCACCAGGCGTAGCAGCATTGGATTCACCTCCACTGGAAGCCTCCTGATTCACATATTCCAACCTCCTTTTCTTTCGCTTTTTCTTTTTATGCTTCCGCTTTGTTGAAGAAGTAGATTCCTCGTCAAATGCTAAAACAATTCGGGCGTTGATGAACCTTGACAACTCGTGCAAACAAAAACTAAAATACCAGCTCACCGTTATTGCGAATGTCCAAATCATTCAAGTTCTGCTGACTACCTCGACCGAAAGTTAGAGAATTTGACTTGATCAGTGTGCAAGAGCTTGCCTTTGAATGAAATACAGAAGCATCTCTTTGGAGCACAGATATGAGGAGTGGGGGAAAAGTTGAGTTGTCAATTGGCTCGGACACATTATCAGCATCGAGATCGCTATTTAAAGGAAGTCAAGGCAAAACAGTAACGTACATATTGTCCGTGGATACCTTGCACAGGGCTTCAGTGATGCTACAAATCAAATTTTCATCTTTGGAACAAAGGCATCGCATGACATCGCTTGAAATTTCTGGATCAAGGAGGCTGTCGCTACTGGATCCGTGTGGAAAGGCAGTTGGTAGGGGAAGCTCTGGCAATATGTCCGTCAAACTAAACACTGCTCCAAACGATTGAATTGGAATTCGACTTATATCGCCACTCATTATTCCTGCAATTCACCAAATTACATCTACTTCAGTGCAGCAAGATAACTTATCACAAAGATAACCACTAGATATCTTACATTGCGTAAGCAGGACTCATTCGATATAAGGAAGAAAAAACGTACAATGTGAGTATCTGCAACCAAGAAGGGTGTCATTGGACATATAAGACAACGAGAGAAAGAATAACAAGCTTCCCCGACGCAGACATATTGACATACATAAGTTAATATAAACAATAAGCATTGACGATTTTTCACGTCGGTTTCCCTTAATAAAAGCCGTTCATGACTATATTGCAATTTTGTAAAAAGAGTACAGCAACGTATTTTAGCAAACGTAGCACCTATCGCCAACGTTTTGCAATAATGTCTGGAATGAAATTTGTTGGCAAAAACTCGTTTTCTGTTTAAACACCAAGCCTAGACAGATCCAAATCTGAATTAATCTAAGAGTTAACCTAAATAATAGGTTTTATACCCTCACAAAATGCAGAAGAGCATAATAAATGCTTTAATTCTTCACATGTTACTTACTCCCATTTACAATTCACGGTTTAATAATTGGCATTCCTTCTTACAGTTAAACAGCATATCATACTCCTTTATTAACCTGAAAGCTGCTTGAATGTTAGGGAATGCCAACAGGAGACGCTAAAAGAAAGTAAGCTTAACAAAGGCAAGTTGCAGTGTGAAGAGTACAGGAGGCAATTTGAATCCAACGCCTGCCTCCCATCAGCAAGACACATTGCAAACAAATAATGTGTATTCCATTTATCTAGCTGTAGCTTTTTTGACTGTTATTTGGGGCAATGGACACGTCGCTTCAACTTGAACCAAAATAGCATACGGCCTAAAAACGGGAATTCGTAGAGAAAACTTTTTGAATCAGGGTCAGACCTTGGAATGCTGGAGCATAACTGACGGTTTAAAAACAAGCTTCTGTATGGAACGGGTTCAGTGTATATTAAATACGCCAATGCACTAAGATTCCTTCCTAAACGGGACTTTGCGAGATCTTAAACAGAAGTGTTGCTCCGTCCTTTTATAGATCGCCCATTGATAGCAAAAACGGAGAAAGTGTCAACCATGGATATTCTCCTGCAGGAAATGGGTGCTCTTCAGTTGCACAGCAGAAGATTTTAATAAAGTGTTGGAACCAAGATAGATGTGGTAAAAATTTGAATTCACTTTCTGTGGCCATCAGTGGATTGACGTCAGATCTTCCAATAGGTAGAGCTTAATATGGTTATTACAGAAAAAAGTGAGATTTTGGACTTTGACTTAGTGCAAGAGTCATTCAACATGACCTAGGGTTAAAAATGGTGAAAAGCATTAATCGAGCTGGTCAACTTTAAAGGACACTACTGTAATCTATACTAGTTTGTTTAAGTGTACTTTTATAGGTTAGAGGCGGGAACGAATTGGGAACGCGAATGACGTGCGTAAAGCCGGCGAGAAGTCTCCCTCCGATTGATATCTCTACTCACCTCATCTGTATCCCATTCTCCATCCTTCCCAATAACAATGCCTAATAATTCGTCTGCAACCAACTGCCTCTTGAAGTCTAAGGATCAGGGACCATGGGGTGGACAGGCAGCTCTTGCAACTACTCTACCCAAAATGTTCTCTCAGATGTTAAGAAAACATTATTCAAACAAGCAAAGGGACTCTCACTGTCTTGCCTTTACTTTGATTGCAGCTTTGCCTCCCTACACGTAGGGGTGCTTTCCGACCATGCAATAGCCAAATCTCTTCTTCGGCTTATAGAATACACGTATTTAGCCCAAAAGAACTTCTTGTACCTAGAGGAACTTCGCGGCATTCCTCAGCGATTAATGCAGCGTCTCGAGGCTCCTAGTCTAGTAAAAGAAAGCAGTAATTGCAGTCCGAAGACGGCAGGTCAAATGAGCCTGGGCATGGCCCGAAGGCCATCCCGTGTACAAGGGCCAGATAAATCTTAAACTGACCGGCAAACTTCCTTTGGCCACATATCAAAGCGTTGCAATCACCTTTGTCAACATAACAGAAATTGGCAATTTTAACGCGCAGACCAATCCTTACACTGCGCATTTAAACCTGGTTAATTCGCGATGCGACTAGATGACAGGATGGTGCTGTAATGCTTTGTTTATGTGAATACCTAAGGCTCGGAGTTCGCTTTAGGATTTGGCTGTCCTTTGTACTTGTGAGCTGGCCTTTGAGCTATGCTCAGTCCCAAATGCTTTGTCCTATGCGGCATACATGTATTCACCTTCACTTACGGCCTTCTTCCATACTATGGAAAGTCTCGGGAACCCTGCAACTGATAATTTGCTATCCGTTAGCTTACAAGTTTAGCTTTTAGTTTCATAAATGAACATTCTCGGTGGGCTGCCGGTCGAGCCAGGCAGGCAGCACTGGTACTCATTATTTGCCAGATGCGTATGTTCTGCTTACGAATTGTTGTTACTTCACTATCCATATTCTTCTCTATTAGCAAAATGTTTTAATAAAGCCCTCGGCATGTTAGTGTACTTGCAACTTAACTTATACACAAACTCTAAGTGTTTATTTGTTAAAATGCACCAATGTTCTATACAGATAACTTGTCGGATTTTAACTTGGGCCTTGAGTCGGGGTATCGCATTTTCGTGTTAATTTCGACCATGCGAATCTGTAATTGAACTGCTTTGACAATTTACATTAATATGGACCAAAATACCTCGGACATAGTCACCGTTTCTACTCTGTTAGGATACGTCAAGATCAAATGCTTACAGTCCACCTCTGTAGATGTAAGTTGGTATTTTATTGTTATTGTCTAGGAAATAACAATGGCAGCCATTAAAAAAGTATCAATATCAAATTCTTCTTTTATGTTTGGTCTGGAAATTCGGGATAGATCTTCAGCTGCCGAAGAACGTCTCTTCATATGCCCGCACCTAACTTGGTCTGAAATAGCTGGGCTTGTTAATGAACAAAATATTCTCCTATCAATTAGATTTTTCCCAACCAATTTTGAAGACTATATGCGTAAAGATCGTTCTACCCTGCAATATCTGCATGATCAGGTTGGTTCTTTTGCAGAACTTAGACAAATTTAAGGTTAATCGGTTTTATAAATCTGTATGGGAAGATTGCACAGATAACCAGTCCTGCTTTGAAATCGGTTGCCTTGAAATTAAGTAGGCGAATAATTTTTTTATTGGGGAGATTGTCTTCTGATTGTGAAATAACCGAGGAGTCATTGGATCAGCTTGAGAAATCTAGAGGACTTTCAACATTCTTTCCATCTCACGTTCTGCATCAACAAAAGGTATTGATAATTGTTATTTACAGCAGTTCAGGTAAAATACTTGAAGCGTGATATTCTCAATTACTCCTCTAATCTCCATTACTACTCGAAGGAAGATTGCATGCTTGAACGCCTAAATCGCCTTCTAATACTCACACAGTTCGATAGCGATTCGTATGCATGCTATCTCGGAGTAAGTTGATGCCTTTTGCTATATTGCCTTAGTCGGGAAGACTTACTTCTTTGCGGCACACTTTAAATGGCTTATTATTATTATTATTTGATTCGCATCTATTAAGTTATGAATGACAAGAAACTTTTTTACTGTATGCATTCGCACTTACATTGGCAACTAATTGTGCCTCCCCCATCACAGGCAGGGATGGGTATTCCGATTCGCCTGCTTTTGGGACCCCGCTCACAAGTTCGTGTCAATATCGGAAACACAAAGGAAGTAGGTTTCGTTTTTTCTATTAATTAAGCTTTTTTAAAACGGTTTATTTGAGAACGAGGTTGAGCGTTTTGTTTTTGTCGAATTCACCGTACTAAATTAACTTTTCAAACAAGTATCAGCGATAAAATAGATTGACATTTGGCAGTTTTGGAAATGGTTTTGCCTCTATTCAACAACTCCGCTTTCTCTCTATTGACGAGCAGTTTTAGGCTTGAAGTTGCTTTTATTTGACTTTTGGCCGGTAAACCTTTCACTGATTCACATTGTTATCTTAAGAAAGCCCCAATTTTTTGCCTACTTTTTG